CTTTAGAAATAATGCTCACATCTCTTTACAATTTGTGCATGAAACGAAGTTTTGACTGCAGTCCATCATATGAGGTCAGATGTGGAGTTTTTCACTTGTGATATGTTGATGCTCGAAAAGTTTTGGAAATTGAAGCATTTCAGATTTTGGATTTTCAGATTAGGGATGCTCAACCTGTAATAGAGAATAGATTTTACCTTTGTTAACTGTATTTTGTAATAAAAGGTTTTCTTAAAGGTACAAGTATAATGAAACTCAAAAACTAAGAGATTCCCACTGGCTAGAGATATGTCAGTTTGACTTCAGAAAAGATTTTTTTCAATAGATTTTATTCAGTCAAATATGTGTAATCCATCCATTTATCATGATAATTTTTATAATAATTTAAAAATACTTATGTACTATAAAATTTACTATTTGAAAGTATACAGTTATATGCACAGAGTTGTGCACCTACCACCACTAACTAATTTCAGAGGGTTTTCCTCATCCCAAAAGGAAATCAGATATCCATTAGTAGTTGATACCCATTTCTCCCTCTTGAGTGAAATTGCTGAGTCTTAAGGTACTTCATGTAACCTTTTGAGGAATCATCAGACTGTTTTCCAGAGAGAATGTACCATTTTACATTCCCATCAGTAATGTATGAGGGTTCCCATTTTTCCACATCCTTGCCAATACCTATCAGTCTTTTTTTTATTATGGTCCTCATGTTGGATGTCAAGTAGTATCTCATTATGGGTTTGATTTGCATTTATGTATTGACTAATGATGTTAAACATCTTTGCATGTGTTTATTGGCCATTTGTATATCTTCTTTGAGAAAACGTTGAAATCTTTTGGACATTTTTAAATTGGCTTGTCTTCTTGTTGAGCTATTCTGGACACTAGACTACTATCAAATATATTATTTGTAAATATTTTTTCTCATTCTTTGGGTTGTCTTTTCTTTTCTTTCTTTCTTTTTATTTGGAGACTGTTGCCTAGGCTGGAGTGCAATGGCCAGTCTCGGCTCACTGCAACCTCTGCCTCCCGGGTTCAAATGATTCTCCTGCCTCAGCCTCCTGAGTAGCTGGGACTACAGATGCGTGCCATCACACTTGGCTAATTTTTCTATTTTTAGTAGAGACAGGGTTTCAACTATGTTGGCCAGGCTGGTCTCGAACCCCTGACCTCGTGATCCTTCCGCCTTGGCCTCCCAAAGTGCTGGGATTACAGGCATGAGCTACCAAACCCAGCCTCTTTGGATGAACAAAAGCCACTATCAAGAAAGTTTTGATGTTTTGATGAAGTCCAATTTATGTTTTTTCTTTGGTTGCTGATGCTTTGGATGTCATATCTAAGATACTATTGCCTAGTCCCAACATCATAAAGATTTACACTTATGTAGGGTCTGATTTCATTGTTTTGTATCCAGTTGTCCCAATATCATTTGTTAAAAAAACTATTATTTCTCCATTGGCACACATGTCCAAAATCAATTGACCATAAATGTAAGGATCTATTTCTGGACCATTAATTCTGTTGATCTATGTTTATTCTAGTACCAGTCTTGATTAACGTATCTTTATAGTAAGTTTCAAAATCAGGAGCTGTGAGCCTTGTGCTTTGTTGTTCATTTTCAAGATTATTTTGGATATTCTGCATTTCTTGCAATTCCATGTGAATGTTAGGATCAGCTTCTCAGTTCCTGTGGGGAAAAAGTACCTGATGGAATTTTGATAGAGATTGCATTGCATGCTATATGGAAACCTGTTCGATCACCTTAGGGGATGGCAGGGAGCCAGTTTTTCAAATCTGTCTTGAAAACTAGTAAATAAGGGTACTTTTTCTGTTTCACCTGTGTGAACCATACCAACAGGTAACCAAATAGTAGGTGAAGTATCTCTTTATACATGTATTCCATTGAGTTAATAAAAAAGAAATATAGAATTAGTTTGTCACAATTTTGCACATCCCAGTGAATGAATTAGTTTAGGTATTGAGTATCAATATCTACTAACTTTACAAAAAGAGAACCAGACATTATATGCTTCCAAAGAAAATAACACACCACCACCTGTAGTCTCACCGAAAGACTAAACGTGAGGCTAATCAAGTTGTTGCATCCAGCTACCAATTTGCAGGAAATACAGAAGCAAAAGGACCCCTACATTGAAGGGTTCCATGATTTTGCAGTCATTTTACTGGAGCCTCGATAGGTCAAATGCCTTGAGTTTTCAGTAATTACAGGGAATGAAAAAGAATCAAGAGGGAACTTACAGATTAAAAGGTACTTAAAAAAAGCATTATTTTAACATTACTTCTTCCTTTCCTTTTCTTAGTGAGGCTTTTGTTTTGGTTTTAATTCCTTTCACATCCCTCCAAGTTACTTCATAGACATGGATACACACACACATACACATATAATGATACATATATACACTATTGCTTAAAAATGTTCAGTGTATTTATATAAAATTTAAATAGGTTTATGTACATATGTAGTTTTATGTATAAAATACGTATCCTGTATATATGTATATAGATATGTAGCTTTGAAACATCGTTTCCTCATTCTATGTTTTTACTTTGTGCTATTAGAAGAGGTAGATTTTTTGCCAATTTAACTTCTATATAGTATTTCCTAGGATGGTTGTACCATATTTCCTTAGACATTTTATTAGTTGATTTATAGGCAGTTTGTTGTCAGTTTTTTAAAATTCCAAGCTGTAGTGAATATCCTTGTGTATGTATCTCTTCTAAAGTATATCTTAAGTTGTTGAGTACCTGTAGAGTTTCAAAAGATGGTACCGAATTTCCTTCCTTGTGTCTACTACTGAGAGCATTTAAACTTTGCTTCCACTCAACTGAGTATGTAAATTATGTTCGGTTTTCTAAGTATATTTATGTTAACTTCAGCCTTGCTTATAGGATGAAGTTAGAGAACCCTTATTACTAGTTTTGAAAATAATTGAAGTTACCTGTGAAAACACTATTCTTATATCATGTTTAATAAGCTAGCTAATGTTGATGGAAGCCAGATTGTTGTTTTCCACATAAATGTACCATTTCACAGAAGGATGTTGTTTAAAAAGTGTTACTGGAGGCTGTATAGTATCTTGCAGCAGTCAAGCGCATAGTTACGATTCTTTCTCTCTTTTTTTTTTTTTTTGTATATATTTACAAACGTACATTTTTCCTCTTATCTATACAACAGATATCCAGTATTCCTCCTTAATACTGTCTCTCATTCCTAGAAGTGGGATTACTAGATCAAGTTGTGAAAACATTTTCAAGGCTTTTGAAACATACTGCCAAACTGCCCTCCAGAAAAAGGCCTCTACTGTGAATGTAATGATCGACGCCCAGTTTCTCTGAATGCTGTTGCTGTACTTTTTTTGCTCACTAAAGAAGTTGAGCATTTTTTCCTCTAAGTTTACTCATCCGTTTTTTTTCTCCTCTTGTTCAGGGGTACATATGCAGGTTTGTTACATGGGCAAATTGTGTGTCACTGAGGCTTGGCGTAGGAATGATCCTGTCACCAAGGTAGTGAGCATGGTACCCAATAGGTAGCCATCCAACCCACACCCCCTTCCACCCTCCCCACTCAAGCAGTCCCCAGTGTTTATTGTTTCCATCTTTGTGCCCATGTGTATTCAGTGTTTAGTTTCCACTTACAAGTGAGAACGTGCAGTATTTTGTTTTCTCTTCCTGTGTTCGTTCACTTAGGATAATGGCCTCCAGTTGTATCCATGTTGCCACAAAGGACATGGTTTAATTTCTTTTTATGGCTGCATAGTATTCTGTGGTGTATATGTACTGCATTTGCATTTTATTTATCCATTCCACCATTGGTGGGTATCTTGTTTGATTCCATTTCTTTGCTATTGTGAATAGCACTGCAGTGAACATACATGTGTCTTTTTAGTAAAATGCTCCTCTTCTCTCTCCCCTCTCCCCCCTCCATATCCCCCCGCCCCTTTTCCCCCCTTCTGCCCCCTACCTGTTCCCCTTCCCCTTCCCCTCCCTTTC